AACAAGTACCAAAAAGTCCCCTTTTATAGGTTCTCACTTTAACCGGAGTCTACATACTTAATTTCATGTCTCTAGCCAATAACAACACACTGCTTCATTCGTAATTGTTGTTCTTGCTTTGCCTTTTTTTAAACAAGTAATATAATAACAAAATTTACCAGAGTTTAAATATTAGTAGATGCTTTTATATTTTTATTTTTGACTTTGCAATAAATATGCATTTACCTCATATTTAAAAATATGCACATTTAAAAAATGGTTCTGTTCAAAATATTTCTAGTATTTTTGCTAAAAATATTTACCCATACAAACTATTGCATATTACAGCTTACAGACAAATATAAAATGTTTTCACTTACAATATATTACGCAGCAACTCGCTAACATATTTATAATACACACATATATTTCATATGGCTTGCCTATAATATTAAAATATTTTCCTACACAAATTATTCGCAGTCAACAATATTGAAGCCATGCGAGCAGTAATATACGAACATGAAATGTACGCAAGCAGAGCATATATGTGCCGACGAAAACACGAAACAAAACGATAGTCGCGACTATCAGGTTACAATATTTTTACTATCAAACTTAAATATTATTTACTATAGGAAATGACTTATGGTCTAAAATTTAACATTTCATGTTGAACTTGAAAAATTATAAAATGTGAAAAATGTATGCAAGATATAACCAAATTTTATTTAGAAAATAATTGAAAACGTTTATATCTATGTATGTTTTATGTATATTATGGGAAAAATGTATGCATGAAATAACCAAATTTTAATTAGAAAATTTTTGAATTGAATTATTGAATGTATGTATTTATTAAATTTATGTTTAATTTTTATGTGGAGTATTAAAATGTATGTATTTGTATTGATTGTAATATAATTAGAAAAAAATTATATAAATACTTAGAGGATCATATGAATGTAAAAATATATTCAAATATGTATATATGTAAAAAATTGTTTTTACAGGCTATATTTAAACATATTGTTTGTAACAGGATGACAATAAGTTTGTAAATTAGTAGTGTCTATGAAATGATCAATAATGAAGGAAATTATAGGTATTTTAGAAATTTGTAACAGGATGGCAAAAAATTAAGAGGGGACATAAAAAGTTGTTTTTGTAATTTTACATTGTGAAAGGTTAAAACAACAAAAATGTATGAGTGTATTACATACATATACAAGTATGTTTTTCATATGCATGTGTCACATTTCTATAAATTATTATTACATACACTCAATTATCTTACAATAATGAATGAACAGGCGCGAAGAAAAAAATATATAGGTGTTAATAAATTTGCATATGCCATTGCCAACCTTTTGAATTTGCATGAGAGAGACTAAATAATAATGATATTTCTTTCCTCTTCTCCCCACCACAAATTCAAGTAAAGCAAAAAAAAGGATCTTGGGTAAACCATCGTTAAGGAATGTGCGTAAAATGATAAAGTAGGAAAGAGAATTTCTACTACAGGTCATTTTTATGACGAATGTATTTTTGCATCACACGTACATATCTTCTTCCCTCCACCAATTCAGGGAAAAAATGACCTATCGTAATCCACCGTTATGGAATGTGCGTGAAAAGTAGGAAAGAAAAGTGCTGTTACAGGTCATTTTTATGACGAATGTGTTTTTTGTTATTGTTTCACACATACTTACATACATACATATGTATATACAAAACCAGATATAAATGGTGTTGCATATTTGAATATATTTTTACATTCATATGATCCTCTAAGTATTTATATAATTTTTTTCTAATTATATTACAATCAATACAAATACATACATTTTAATTCTCCACATAAAAATTAAACATAAATTTAATAAATACATACATTCAATAATTCAATTCAAAAATTTTCTAATTAAAATTTGGTTATTTTATGCATACATTTTTCCCATAATATACATAAAACATACATAGATATAAACGTTTTCAATTATTTTCTAAATAAAATTTGGTTATATCTTGCATACATTTTTCACATTTTATAATTTTTCAAGTTCAACATGAAATGTTAAATTTTAGACCATAAGTCATTTCCTATAGTAAATAATATTTAAGTTTGATAGTAAAAATATTGTAACCTGATAGTCGCGACTATCGTTTTGTTTCGTGTTTTCGTCGGCACATATATACTCTGCTTGCGTACATTTCATGTTCGTATATTACTGCTTGCATGGCTTCAATATTGTTGACTTCGAATAATTTGTGTAGGAAAATATTTTAATATTATAGGCAAGCCATATGAAATATATGTGGGTATTATAAATATGTTAGCGAGTAATATATTGTATGTGAAAACATTTTATATTTGTCTGTAAGCTGTAATATGCAATAGTTTGTATGGGTAAATATTTTTAGCAAAATACTAGAAATATTTCGAATGGGAGCAATTAAATATATTATATTCATAAAATATATTTATATTTTAATATTACATACGTATGCATAGGAGAAAATATGCATTTTGGTTACTAATATATTAGTAATTTTAATCACTGAAATTTACCGTTTGATTATGTGCGTTGTTGTAGTTTGTATATTATTCTGTCTCCGCATGCACCTAAAATCTCAATTTTTGCTCATATCTCCGTTATTTATGAACCGATTTTGCTGATTTTAAATGGCGAAAGCATGTCTGACAGATTTGTTGAAGATTTGGATCCCGAAAATATCTGGGATCTTTAGAAAATTTATTTCAACAAACATACAGATAGACTTGTACATGGACCGGCTTTAGCCATGTATAAAAATTGCCACCTGATTTCTTCATTGAAGATTGAAGGGGCGGTGGTGAGTCACGTAAAGCACTTTGACTTCAAACATACAGACAGAGAGACAGACAGCGGACAGACGGACATAGCTTAATCGACTACGCTATCTACATATAAGGACTCGGAATATATATTCTTTATAGGGTTGGAAAATTATATTATAGAAATTACAAACGGAATGACATATAAAAATATATGGTGCTAAAAAGTTAAACATAGAAGTTAATCTATATTTGTAAAAACTAGCTGCGTGTACCCCCGGGTTTCTTCGAAAAGTAAAGAGAATATTTTTCTATCTGTAATGACTTTTTTTGAAATAGATATCAAAATGTAGCTTATAACGATAAAATAGTTATTATATTTGTCTGCCTTTTTGAATTCTTAAAGTCCGTTTCTGGACCAAAAAGTCCCTTAAAAATGTAGAAATGAGAAATCTCAACATTGAAATCCATATGAACGTTTGCCGACTAAAGAAATGGGACTGGGTTTTCCCGCAAAATGTAAATATGAAAAATTGGAAAGGGTTTTTTAATTTATATTGTTTCTAGGGTAGCGAAGCACACTGGGTATAGATAGTATACATATAAAAGCACGTGTAATACTACATACATTATGTAGTATATTATAAATCTCTATGTAAGTCTGTTTGTTTGTTTTTCTTAAATGCATATTATTGATTGTTTAAGAGCAAAAGAATTTATGATTTAGTTTTTATACCCACCATCAAAAAAGATTGGGGTTATATTGATTTTATCATTCCGTTTGTAACACATCAAAATATTGGTCATACACCCACATAAATCGACAATTGTCATGACGTTCTTGCTAAAGCTCTTCAATTACACATCAGTATGATATGTCATAGATTTGTCCCTAGTGTTCACAACGTAACGATTTTGTCTTAAGAACATTTGACAAAACATATGAAAATGTCAGGGGATGTCATGGTTTTTTGTATGGGAAGTAGTGACAAATGCATCAGGGATTCTAACATGTCATGAAGTCTTTCCCGAAGACGTCTTAGAGAAATTTCCAACTGGGATATTCTGGGTCCTAATTAAATTCTAAAGAGTTGTCAGTCCGACTGTCCGTCTGTATGTTTGTTGAAAGCACGGTAGAGGCCGAACGAAAAGAGGTAGAGGGTTGAAATTTCAACAAATATTCCTTACAGGTAAGGTCTGTTTGGTATTGAAAATGGGCATTATCGGTCGTTTTCAGATAGCCCCCATACAAGTGGAAACCCGAAAAACATAGCGATGAGATTTGAAATGAATAAGTTAAATATAAGCCTAAACTCTCTTCCAAATTTTATGAGGATCGGTAAACTTATAACTGAATAAAAATGTGAGTACCGCGATGAAATTCGAAAAAAATAAATATTGTCTAAACCGATGAGGATAGGTTCATAATTGATTCTACCCTCCATATAACCACTTTTACAAAAAAAAAAAAAACAGATTATGATTATAAGATTATTAAAACTAGACAAAGTCGATTTGTTTTTAAAAATTAATATTTTTAATTCGGAAGAGCACGGTCCATACTTAAGCCCTCATTAAAGGCCCTCTTCCAAATATTACCGTGATGTTCATATTATCGATCTTCATATATCGATATACATACATATGTTGATAAAATTCAACATAGATCTAATAAATTGGAAAATTTTGTATACAAAACAAAAGCATCGGTTCGTAAATAAATATCACAGTTTTTTTTTATAAGGAAGCATTCCTTTTCGGCAATGATTTGATGGTGGGTATATAAGATTCGGCATGGCCGAATATAACACTCTTTTTTAAAAATACTTCATAAGCACAAAGTTTGGCGTATAGTAGTGCTAGCAGTCACTTTATCGATATACATATATTGATAAATTTATGGTTGTGACTATAAGCGAAAAGTACTGTATATCTTTTAGAGACCTATAAGAATAATAATATATATATTTTTTTTAATATTTTTAAAACAACTCTGCGTAGCAATTCATAAGTATTAAATTCGATTCAGAAAATGTAAAACAAATTTGAACACAAATATAATGCGGCCTGTACTCTTTAAATATTTTGATATAAAAGCAATTAACAATAATTTTTATCTTTTATCATTCTTTTTATCTTTTATCATTGTTTTGATATAAAAGCAATTAAAAATAATTTTTATCTTTTATCATTGTTTGAATAGAACTATTTTGGTGATGCCTGGAACACGTTTGATTTTATCATTGTCCTTGGAAGTTTTATAGACATTGTATATAGCGAAATCAAAACCAAGGAACAAGTATTGACTACACCGTGCACGGTAATGCAAGGTTGTAAGCCAAAGGCCAAAGTAAGTACAAAAACACTGCAAGTATTTTCATCTTCATACATAAATTTACTTTTTTTTGTACTAGGGCGGCTCCACATTAATTTCTATTAACTTCTTCAGGCTATTTCGTGTCATGCGCCTCGTTAAATTATTGAGTAAAGGTGAAGGTATTAGAACATTATTATGGACGTTCATTAAATCGTTTCAAGCACTACCATATGTAGCGCTCTTGATTGTGATGCTTTTCTTTATATACGCCGTTATTGGAATGCAGGTAAGAACTGACCGATACACAATGTTTTGTTACATGAACAACAATAAAATTAATTAACTCGCCACACCTCCGCTATAGGGCAAAATCTAAATACGAATGTATGGATAAAAACTATGACAGAAACATGTATTTTTGAGTTTTAGAAAAATAATTGGCAAAAGATTGTTTTTTAACAAATAGGAATATTTTTTAGCTTTGTTACGGATCGTGTTGTTCGAACGTAGAGTGATCTGCCGACTAGCTCGCCACGGTATCTTCTAGGGTGTGTTCCCTCCCTCACTCTCGTCCCAACCTGAAACAATATGGCGCCCAATCGAAAGGCTTCGGCATTCCACACCTGCAATAAAAAGAAGCTGAAGAGTACATACTATCAAAGCACAGTACAATAGAATAGTAGGGAAGTGCAATAGTAGAATGTAAGTTGTCAGATTGTGTTCAATAATTGTGATTCATAGCCATTATTATTTAAAAGAAATGCTAATGTAGTATGCAAAGCAATTAATGAATTCAATCAGACTACTTACCACAACACACCGGAGAAGATGTGATTCCATAGGAAAAGAAATATGTATAATCCTAAGTGTCCTAGTCTGTATCCAAAAAAAAAAAAAAATTTATTTAGTAGAATCAGTTTGACGTTAGTAAATATATATATAGAATAGAATTTGATCGATAGCCGCTTTAAACTAAAGTTTAAAGGTCTGTAGTATCGGCAAATAATATTTCGGTTCAAACACCTTTCAAATAAACCAGTCATAATGACTAGCCGTTTTCTTTGTTTCCGTTTTAAAGTAGTATGAATGTAACATGTAGCGAATTGTTTTTTTTTTTTTTTAATAAAAGAATTAGAACAGCAAACCTTTTCACACCGAGTACCAGCAACCCTTAAATAAGAGATTGTATACCAATAATAAAAATTAGAATCTTGTCAATTTACATCATACGTTACTACTTATATTTCGTGATTAGTTTTTATACCCTACACCACTTTAGTGGGGAGGGTATATTGGATTTGTGCTGATATTTGTAACATACAAAAATATTCGTCCTAGACCCACCTTAAAGTATACCAATCGGCTTAGAATCGAGTCGATTAAGCTATGTCCGTCCGTCCGTCCGTCTGGCTGGCTGTCCATGTAAACCTTGTGCGCAAGCTACAGGTCGCAATTTTCAAGATAATTAGATGAAATTTGGCACGTACGTTTTATTTGACCCAAGGACAAAGCCTATTGAAAATGGTTAAAATCGGTCCATTATTTCACCTAGCCCCCATAGAACAGAACCCCCCGAAAAGGGCTTCTGAGCTCATAATTATGTTAAATATACAGATATATCGATAAAATGCGGCACAACTAAGTTTTATAGAAGTCTTATTGACCCTGCCAAATTTCATAAAGATCGGGCCCCATTTGACCCTAGCTCCCATACAAAGCCCCCTTCAGAAAATTACTTGAATGACCCAAATTAACTTATAAACACAAATATCGCGATGAAATTCAGCACAATAAAATATTATGTAAATATAAATATATTCACAAAATGTTATCGGGCTTGGTCCATATTTGCCCCTAGCCCCCATATAAAGCCTCTTTCAGAAAATTAGTTTTTCATCCATAAATTGCTTAAATGTATCGGAACAAGGGAATATTGAAGATAAATGCTTTATTATGAAAAATAAATCACATTTAATATTCATAACTGGTGTAGGGTGTCATATGGTCGGCCACGCCCAACTATAGTTTCTTACTTGTTTTTTATGTTTCCGTGAATCTTTATATATATACTACATTATTTTTTTTAATTGCATTAAGTTATTTATATCACGATTTATTTAATTAATTCCTTATTTTTTTTAATATTTTTTATTTGTGTTTCAAACTATTTATTTTATATTTTATTTATTAAGACCGTTATTTTTTTAACTATTGTTTATGTACTATTCTATTTAGTTATATGTAGTGTGTCTTGATTAATACGTGTCTGATTAGTTATTTGATATTTTTAAACATTTAAAATCATATTCTAGTATATTGTCTGATTGATGTTATTGAATCAGCTACGTATAAACTTTTTATGTTTAATTTATATAATTACCCTATTTTAATCCTTTTAAATTATTATAAACCAAAAGTCCTTATAAAAACAGACTGCCCATAACAAAGTATATTCTATAGACATCGAGAGATTCTTTAGTACACGATTATGAATATAGAGACTAGGTCTCAGTCCAATAACAGAAAGAGAATACGCCAACCACATTTTGACCTCAACCGTTCCATACCGCACGTATTGCCTAAAATACCAAGGAAAAACAAAAATTTATCGAAAATGAGTAGTAGTGAGAATAATTTTAATATACAAGACTTTGTAGATCTTTCAGGGACCATAAATACTAGGACTATTCCACAAACTAGCAACGCGTCAAGACCTTTAGAAAGTATAGCACCTGAAGTTAGGGAAATGGTGGTAGATGAGGCGTTAGTAGTTCAAAGGTCTTTAGAAGACAAAATTAGGAGAATGGTACAGGAAGAAATGACTGAGATTAAGAAAAGCATAGCAGAATTAACAAAAAGCTTGGTAGACCTTTCGAAAACCACGGCTCCAAACCAGGCATTAAGAGTAGATCAGAATCCTTCGACAAATGATAGATCATCACTAGTCGATGGTCGGTTAAATATTAGGCCTGCCTCTGAAAATAGTTCCGAAAACAATAATTTTAGTATAGGCAATGTGGCTATGCCTTATAAACAGACAGAATGCGGAAATGACACGAATACGAGTAGATAAATTGGGAATCAATTTTGACGGTAACCCATCTCATTTAAGCATAGATGATTTCGTTTTCCGTCTCGAGCATTTACAAATGCATTACCAGATTCCGTGGTCTGAGGTGTTGAGAGATTTCCATCTATTAATGGCTGGATCAGCCAGAGAATGGTATTGGCTTTATATACGCACACACGGAGCGGTGGATTGGCCAGGTCTTAAGCATGCATTAATGGGACAATATAAAACTACCAGATCCAATTTCGAAATCATGAGAGACTTAGTTGAAAGGAAACAACAAACTGGGGAAACTATCGACAGTTATTTTCAAGCTATGTGTCAAATTCGTTCACGTCTTATACAGCCAATTCCGGAATACGATTTAATTAAAATTATAACAAGAAATATGAAAGAAAACATATGATCCGTTGAACAGTTGCGTTTGGAATGTAACGAAGCTGAAAAGAACTTTCCGAGAAAAGAATTCCGTAATATGCCACCCATAATACGCTCTACCAAATATGTCAACGAAATGTATTGCGAAAATAAGGAGGATAACGAAATATCACACGATGATTATGAGGATGTGGCAGCCTTAAATGTAAACCTGCAACAAAGAAATTTACCAGTAACCTGCTGGAATTGTAGGCAACCCGGACACGTTTTTATGGAATGTACGTCATTGGAAAGAGCTTTGTTCTGTTACAAATGTGACAGACAAAACGTGATTACACCTCGCTGTCCGAATTGTCAATTGGGAAGCCCGTTCAGGAGTTTGGGTGCGAAGGGGAACCCACGCTCGGCCAGCAATCGTGCCCCTACAGAGAATTAAATGGAATTAAAAATATATTAAGTGAAAATCAAATTAAGTCGAATGAACCTCCAACTACTAAAAATCTATCACATATTAGACATTACTTAACTAGGGATGAAAGACAACGAAATTATGACGAAGTTAGAGCTCATATTTTTGGAGAAGATAATTCCAAACCAAAGTTGAGCAGGATACAAAAAGTGCGAGAAAAGTTTAGGGAAAGAAGAAAAAAACGTAGAATAATGATAGAATCCATTAAAAAAGCTAGTAGATATGATGGTGATAACAGAAGCTTCGCGAAAGTAACCATTGAAGGAATGACAATTAAGGGATTACTAGACACAGGGGCGTCAGTGAGTATATTGGACAAAGGATGTAGGGAAATAATACAAGAATTGGGTCTTAGTATTCAGCCATTACTGACGAATGTAAAAACGGCGAGTGGTCAATTTCAGAGAGTACTAGGCACAGTAATGGTATCCATACAGTATAACGATCAGATTGATAAAATGTTACTATACCTCTGCCCTGACAAGAACTTTATCTAGGGATCAATTTTTGGAGACTATTCAAATTGGCTCCAGATATCATAGGAGTGAATGAAATAAATATTGTTGAATTAAAAAATGATACTGAGCCAAAAAGTGAAAATTACAAACTAAAACCACACGAACTAGACGAACAACAAAAGCGAACATTAGACAAGGTAATTAAGGAATTTGACACATTTGAGGAAAAGGGTTTAGGATTGACACATTTGGAAGAGCACAGAATCAAATTAATCGATGGAGCAGAGCCCATAAAGGATAGGTATTACCCCATTTCTCCTGCAGTCCAAGAGATAACGTATCAGGAAATTGACAATATGTTAAAGTTGAACGTAATAGAATTAAGTGAAAGACCCTGGTCAAACCGAACAACAGTAGTTAGAAAACCCGGCAAGAACCGTTACTGCTTAGATGCAAGAAAATTGAATAAGGTAACGGTGAAGGATGCATACCCCCTACAAAATATAGAGGGTATATTAAGCAGGATAGATGAAACACATTATATTAGTAGTGTCGACCTGAAGTATGCCTTTTGGCAAATTCCCTTAGAGGAAAAAAGTAAATCTTATACAGCCTTTACTGTAGCAGGAAGACTCTTATACCAATTTCGAGTGATGCCATTCGGCCTATGTAATGCCGATTAATGGACAGAATCATCCCAAGTAGTCTAAGGGACAATGTCTTCATATATTTGGATGATGAAAATTCTGCTTCCAGGAATTAAAATATTTGGGATTTATATTAGGGGGTGGCACCTTAAAAACGGACCCGGATAAGATACAAGCAATAAGAAACATAAAGTTACCAAGAACAGTGAAACAAATCGCTGAAAATGGGGAGAGATTACCGGATCTAAAAATAGTAGATGGTAA